AGATTCTTAATATTTCTTAAGGGTCTATCGTACACTGGGTACTAGGTTAGAGAGTCTGACAAGACCTTACAGTCTATGATGGAAAAAAGGCACAAAACAAGAAACAGTGATACCTGGTCCCAGGAACAGGGTCATTACCTCAGTCTGAGCACACAGAGGTGCACACAGAGGCTACTATTGTATGCCATGTATTGTGAAAAAACAGCTCTGAAATCAGCGAGGGTATGTGAGGCCAATGGCCCAAACGGACTGGCCTGTATTCACTAGAGTCCGGCACAAAGAAGATACTCTGCTGAGCACAATAAATAACAAAACTAATGTGAGAATTTTCCCAGTAGGTGCACACAGAGGCTACTATTGTATGCCATGTATTGTGAAAAAACAGCTCTGAAATCAGCGAGGGTATGTGAGGCCAATGGCCCAAACGGACTGGCCTGTATTCACTAGAGTCCGGCACAAAGAAGATACTCTGCTCCCAGCAGCGGTGTTCCTCACGAGTTCCCAGTACTCAAGTAGAAAGCTTATCTGCTCTTCACCAGCATTCCACATCACTATGCATTCCCCAACGTAATGGTCATATGGATATGGCACGATTCACTGAACCCCCCCTCGGGTGAGTGTTCAGGGTGCTTCTGGCACTTTGTCACTATAAACCAATATGCAGACTCTTCAGTAAGTGCTGCTCACTGCTAACTTTAACAGAAGGGATACAAAAAAGCATCCCCAGAAATGAAGTGGCAGATTATACATGAGGAACAAATACCAACAATCAACATGTCCTTACATCTGGAAAGGCCCTTGCTCACGTTGGCAAAGAGAACCTGCACCCACTCGGGTAGGCATCAAAAAGCTATAGAGCCGGCCTGCAGCAGTCTGAATTCAGAAGAGCCTGCTGTCACCCTTTGTCACCTGTTCATATATTTGAATAGCAGATAGCATCATATTCTCTTGGGGTTGCAGTATGCATGTCGATAGCACAAAAACATTTAGAAAACAAAAGTCGTAGTCATTTGACTTTTCATTCTTTTAAGCTATGATCTGTTGCACAACTAAATCCTTAACAAAAGTATCACAAACTCAGGAATTGAAGGAATTCAAATGGCATACATGTCTGATAGGACTAGCCAGACGTCAGTAGGTCTGTTTATACCAAGCAGCCCTCATTATAAACAAAGAATTAGCACACCCATTTTTGGTGAGGAAACTAAGATTTAGAGACAGTGATTATTTTTTTTTTAAATCCCATATACTGCTAGTAAGTTTCAGAGTTAAAACCTGCATCTAAATTTCTTGTCATCTCCAACTGCAAACTCTCATCCTTTGGCTGTCCTATGACAGTTACAGTACCAGACAGCACTGCATGGGATTAAACAGTAGGATTCCGTAACTCATGTCAATTAAGTTGTAGAAATAAAAAGTCTAAAGTGGAAACCTAAACGAAGAGTTGGTGTGTGTGTGTGTGTGTGTGTGTGTGTGTGTAAAACACAGAATATGGAAAATGCTATCACACGTCACTTTTTTTTGTTGAAAGAAGTTTAAAATAAATACCACATTTTTACAGAACTGGAAACACAATCCCTTTCGTTATTTAAGACATAAAACAGCCAAAGAAAAACACATATATACTTTAAATATATTAGTTATGTTTTGACAGTAATTCTGAGAGTACAACCAAAAAATTCAAAAGGAAAACTGAACACGAAAAGGATGACAAGTGATAAAATGGTACTAAGAAGATTTTTATTAAAGAATTATCAGAAGGCTATGGAGTATACATGGCCTCCCCTAATGACAGCTGTGCTTGCTGCTTCCCGTTTGTGGGCAGTATATTTTTGAAAACTGCTTTAAAATGCACAGATGTCTAAAAATTGGTGTTGTATAATATGGCACAAAAAGTATCTTCCACTCATTAAACACCAAGTGAGAGCCCACGCCATACTACACAGGGCCCGCCAGTGTCTGCCAGGAGACACAGTCTATATCGGATGTAGGGGGACTTGCACTGTGAGTGAGAAAGACCCAGGTTTTTCCCCCTTTCTGTCTGGTTATTAGCCAGGTGATATTTACTTCTTAATGTCCCCATTGAAATAACTTGGGACAAGAGACTTGGTTTCAAGACTCAATTAAATGGATGAGAAAAGAAATAAGTCTAAAAATGGATGTCTGTGTGGGGACTTGAAAGTTTGTAGAAAAATATAGTTAGTGCAAAAATAATTCAAGTCCATGCTTAGTTTTTTTCATAATATGCCTTTTCTGTGAACTTTTTGAATGTGCATACATGTTAAAATATATAGTTTGGCTCCTAGAATTAGATGCTGCTACATATAAGATACAGATGTCCAAAACTGAGAATTTACATCTATCTTAAGTGATCTCAGTGCTTACTCAGATAAGGGTTCTAGTCCCCTAGATTTAGGAAGAAATGCAACTAGGACTGAAATAAGTCTGGTTTTGAACAAGAAAAAAATTTTATAAAAATATTAATATCATGGCATGTACTAGTATGCTCCTTATTCTGTAAAATCTGCATGGTGGAGTGTGGACAAGTGAACAGAAACCCCCCAAAAGCAAAACTGCTTAACCAAGGTCATGAGTGAATGGTAGACAGTCTACTGGATTAGGACCCGAATTCTTCTAAGTACTTTCCCAGCTGATTATCAATGCTAACATCTCGTCTGAATAGAGAGGTTTCATCATCCTCTTCCTCATCAGAGGCGGACTGAACTCTTTTATTCTTTTCCTTTTTCATTTTTTATTCATATATATTTCTATTACTATTCATATATTAAATCACTATACATCATTCAGATTGTGAAGAGAGTTTACCCATCATGATATACACCTCAGTTCAGCCCAGTTGAGACCACCATACACATCCTCATCACAGACTGAATTCTATGACGATGAAGTCCCTTGGCTAAGGTCATATATATTATTAGGACCAGAATCTAGGTATTTTTGTTTGGGTTCTCAACCAAGTGCTCTTTCTCCTTCGCTGCGGTGCCTACCTCCTTTTCTGAATTCTGATTTTACTGCTGTCACATGGAAGAACATTTTACCTCTGTACTCCACAAGAATATTTTTTTCTTTTAAACCCATTACTTAGAGATCATCAACATTTTTTGTGAGATCATTTACTCCCCTGGGAGAGGGGCTTGGGGTAGGAATGGCATAGGGTGGTGCTAACTCTCTATGGGAGACGGCAAGAGAGGAAGGAAGAAAGACTGTTTAGATGTTATACTTACATCAAGCTTCATCTCAGGGTAGTTAAACAATTTTAGAAGGAAAGCGATTATTCAATAAATGACCCCAGTGTGCCCATCACCCCTCCAGACACGGCCACTCATAAGATAGCAGAGACTAGACAGTAAAACAAACAAGTTACCATTAGACTTGAAGATCGGGGATTGTCAATAGCCAGTTGGTGACCACGGTGCTAAGACACATCCGTGCTCTATTAGAAAATGGTTTCCCTAGGGTTGGTTTTGTTTTGTATTCTCTTCTTTTTTCTTTTCTCTTTTAGTCCAATATTACTTAGATCAACCAACCACGTAAGGCTTATAAATTCTTACTCACCTGCGTGTCCATCTCCATGACAGAAATATTAATTAAAGAGGCTAAGGTGTATGACATGATCACTAAGTGACACAGGGAAGAGAGAATATGACTTCAACAAATACTTCTTTATTCTTGAAGGCTGAACTACGAGCCATGAGAGAATGACTTTTCAAACTATGAAAGGAAATCACTCAAATAAAATAATTTTTTAGGCAATTCTGGGACACCCTGATGTGAAATGGTGGGAAAAGGTGGAAACCAGAAAGGACCCAGCTGCATAAAAGCCTCGGTAACTTCAGGGATGTCACGTGATTTAAACTCCACATTCTCCAACTTTCCTCACACGTACAATGGGATTAATAAAACTTGTCCTACTTACTTCACAAAATGAGGGAACAGATGTGAGATATTGTTGGAATGTAGTAAGTGTTATGAATGCAGATTATTTTATACACTCTGAATAATTGGATTAAAGCCTACAGTGAACTAGATATTATATATAACATAAAATAGAAATGCTTTGCAAAGAAACCTATTTACCAAAGAGGGGGAAAAACTTAAAATAACTCTAAAGCTACTTTTCAATAAGATGAGGACATTTCTATAATCCATACAAACATAAAATTGTTTAGCAAACATGCATGCCACTATGGTTTTGAGCATTTCTTTCACCAACTAGTTCAAACCCACTTTGGAGGTTTCTTCCTATATATTTGAGCTTTATTTGTGTTACAAAGCATTACAAAACAAACTTCCACCTAGGATGAATTTTACTGTATCTTTCTAATTTTTGAAAAATTTTCATGACTCCTCAGAAAAGTTATTTATGGAAGGTTTTTTTTTTCAACATTTTGAGTCAAAAATCACTTTGGACTAATTCATGACCCTGAGATATAGTTTTTGGAAAAAAAAATGTTTCTACATTTAATAACTATCAATAGCTATTCCTATTACAGAACCTATATAATAGCACTTCCCTAATAAAAATGGAATTTTATTTTCTTACTGTTTATCATACTGTATTTACTATTTTCTTCATTTTTAAAAATTAAACCTTTATGTGACATTTATATCTTCACAGATAATGAAACTGCTAGATATTCTACGTTTTAGAGGTCATAAACACATATCCTGTGATTATGTTGCTTATCACTGGCTTAATGTTTTGTATTTTTCCTTTTTTCACAAAGGGCCTCACAGCACTGTGAAGCAGGCAGGTACCCATTAGCTGCAACCTCTAGGAGTTCCTAGAAGGTAGAGGTTTGATTTCTGGAATGTAGATTTTCCCACTAAATGATATCTCCTTCTGATGCAGTGGTAAATATTCGAAGACAAAACTTCCACTACTGCATATGGAGTTTCTAAGCTTGGAAGGGGCAGAAACCCTTGGGAGGTGATGAAGTCCGTTCCCGCATTTGGGGGTCAGGCTTGTGTGCTCTTACCGTCCAGGTGGCCGACTTGGCGGTGCTCGACTGCTGAAAGGACACGTCGAAGCTGTGTGGGCCTGGGTAGTCAGTGTTGGAGGGGATAGCAGGCGACGGCGACAGGGCGTCGAAGGTGGAGCTGGGCTGAGCGTAGGGCGAGGGCGCCGTGACGCTGTTCTGTGCATGGTCTGTGTTGTAAGGGCTGGTGGACGAGGAGCCATTCTGTATCTGCTGGTCCATGCTGTTCAAGAGCCCCAGGTTGGTGTACTGTGGCTGCAAGGATATCCAGAAACCCCAGTGTTAGCCATTTAGGTTGAAAATCACTGCTCCAGAAAAGGCATCGCTTGGCATCATTCTGCAGAGATCGACCTCAGGTCTGAAACACTTCTCAGCCCAAATAAAATTACTAATTAGTGATACACAGGAACACCAGGGGAAGTCTCAGGCGTGTGTGTGTGTGTGTAGTGATCTTCAAGGATCACACAGCTTTTAAGTACCACCTTTGCAGACGGATTTCTTTGAGAGCATTTGAAAATAGAATATATGCTTCACAAACTAAGCAAAAAGTGCTCAGCACTCAGTAGTTGCTTAGGAATTCTTTAAAGCAAATGGTAATTATTCCTTTGTTTTGGGAAGTGTGTTTAGACTGAGAAAGACTACTTGATATGTTCTAGAAGGATTTAAGATTCACATTGTTGAATATGAATCAGAAGACCTTCAAATTTCTTCTTAGTCACAGATGGAGCCTGTCTATCACAGGGTACCAGTAATGTCCCAAACCTCTCACTCCCATCTCAGAGAATAGTTTCACAAATACTAGAGGTCCATTTGTAGCAAGATTAGGGAGATCCAATCAAGTATTTTTAAAAGTAGCATCCTGGTATGATATCCAAACAGGATCTCTTTTGTCTGCTATTTTATTTCTAGCAATTAATTCTTCTGGAGTAGAATACGTGTAAGTCGAAGAAATATCATCTATGGTGGTTAGGGCGCTGGAATCCCACATGATCAACTGTGGTTTGAGTCCTGGATCTGGCGACTTGCTCTCTCACTTTTCCCCCTCTCTCTGTCTCTCTCTAGTGAATTCATGTACCTATAGTCAATTAAAATAATAATAATAATAAATATGATGACATAAGTAATTAAGAAAAGATTTTATTCTTGATATAATTCAGAAAAGTGCATTAGTGCTATAGCTTTTAAGTCTTCTGCATGAATGGGCATAAGCACAGAGTTAAGTACTCAAGACAATGTTTATGGAAATAATGAATTCCTATCTTCTCGTTTTAAACTACAAAACAACTTTATTAGCCATTAGCCAATAGCCAGGCATCAGCTAGGTAGCAAAGTGGGAATTTTAAGACTAAGTCTTCTGGTTCCATGTCCAGGGGTCTGCCTATGCCATCACAGCTGTCAGGGTAATCAGATGCATTAACCTATTGTCACAGACGTTTCCAGAAGAGCATGCAGCCCAGGGCACAGTGTCCTCTTCTGACACAGGGAAGGCTCACTGCTTCTTCTAGTAAATGGAAGGGGCTTGGAGGCAGAGGTTAAAGCAAGAAGATTAGTAAAATGGCTCAGTTGGCATACGTGTTCTAACGCACACAAGGAGTCTGGCTCTACAATTGAAAGAGAACTCCAAGAGACTCAGACTAAGTACAATGAAGGAAAAAGACAAGCTCACACAGAAACAGAATTTAAACTTGTAAAATGTTCAACTTCCAGTGTAATGAAGTAACTTCATTAAACTTCAGTTCAATCGCACGGAGAGGAGAAATGGACAGCACCACTCCAGTCAGGAGCGCCTCTGTCTAAATGTTAACAGCCGCATGCCCAATTCCATTACACGCATGCACTTGCATTCCACTGCCAAATGCCATGTCCCCATTTGCTCTTCAAATAACTATTAATCTCTTTACACTTATCCCCATGCTGACAAGAGCAGCTGTTTGTCTCGCCTTCCCTCCCTCCCTGACTGCTACAGCTCCTACCCCCCTCCTATCCTCCATTCTCAGCTTCCTCTCCTGACAGGTGTGGCAAAACTGCAGGTAAGACAACTAGGGGAGGAAAAAGCATAAAACCCTAGGCCCACATAAATGCACCCACAACCCAGGCTGAAGGAAAGCTCTTAGGTATCCAAGCCAGAGGCAATGGGCTGGGAAAGGAATTGAAAAGAATTATTTGTGTTCAAGTTAAGGGTCAGTATACAAAGCACTCGTGGACGTCCTGTAGGAATCAGATAATGCTCTCAAAGGCACGCGCTTCCCTACAGCAGCACAATTACAGAGGCAGCCGTCCCTGACAAAAAGGACAAAGAAACTCGCTGAGCACTTTCTAGCAGGCAGTAAAGTGCCTGCTGGGCCACCCCTTCCTCCTCCTCCTAGCTACACAGAAGGAACTTCAGCTAATTGTGGGCTTGGATGAGAACAAAGAAACATGGGCCCTTTGAATTTTTTCCCCCCAATATACATAAAGAGAAAACTTTGGGGACCCAGGTTTAAAAGCCAGTGAACAAACATTCATCAATTTTCCAAAGACTTCAGAGAAAGGGAAATTCCATTTACCTAGAAGTCACAAAGGAGACTTCTAGAGTAGCAGTAAGCCTGGACAGATTGGGTGGTAGCAAAGCAGCAAACCTGTATTCCAAAAATCATGAACAGCACTGTGGGGGCCGAAGGACCTCTTTTGAAATGCCATCATTTTAAACTAACAGTTTCAGAGGAAATATTGTACTTCAAATCAACAGGATTTGTTTCTGATGGTGCTAATGCCTGAATTTATGTAACATAATGCTAAGTTTTTCAAGATTTGAGCAAAATTCCACTACAATTTAAGATAGAAATGAGAAAATGCATTTCAAACTAAACTCTTCACAAGTCATACTTTAAAGAAATATAAACCAAATAGTATGCTCAGTTTTCTTGAAAAATAAGCAAAAAGTGAAACCAACACTACTAACTTTGCATTAGTTAGCTTAAAATGAATACAAACAACAGATTCACCAAAGGAAGGATTGTATAACTGGAAATCTACCTGAATATTTTCATTTATTTATTAAAAATAAATACATCTGCCATAGAAAACAGTTCTTGTAAATTAATTTTTAACCATTTAGTTTTTAGAAGTGGTTTCTTGGCTTGTTGAATTGAGGAGAGATTATACATGTTGACAGACCACAGTTGGAAGCCAAGGGCAAATCAACATAACCAAGATCAGGGGTTACTGAGAACCACCCAAATAATTTGTAGTGCTCATTACAAAAGGAAAATGCAGGGCCTCTCATTTGTGAACTACTGAGAATTTTGAAATGGTGATAGCAAAACATTAAACAATGCATGGCACCTTTCTGAGGATGGAGTCTCATACAACTGATGCACAATTTGCCTGCCCATAAACCTAGCTCTGTCCTAGGTGAATCTGAGTAGTATGTATCCCTTATTTTCCGGTAAAGTGAAGTTAGTGATATGAAGAGAACCGTACATGTCCTCCTCTTTACTATCAGTAGTTTCAAAACTCAGAGGAGAGAAATTTGTATTGTGCTGGAATACTAATGGAATGCTTATTGACAATGACAATAAAAGTCTCAGTGATTAGAACATGACACATTCAGATTAGCCACAAAAAGTAGCTCTTACAAGAACTCCATGGAGCCTCACTTATCCCATGTGTTTCTTTTCTTTTTTTTATTAAATGAAATTTTTTTTTTTTTGCTGTAGGTCACGTATGCTTGCCAGATAGAGCAGATAGAGAGAGACAGAGAGACAGAAAGCAAGAAATCACCCCCCCCCCAAGAGGGGATGTCCACATCGCAATCCCTTCTCCTCCATTCTCCTCTTGTGATCTTGGACACACATGCACATGCGTCCGGTATGAGATTAAGCCACAGGGTCCAGGGCTCGAACCACGGTCAACTACTTGGAAGTCCAGCCAATATAGCCATTACTCAATCTGCTGGTCCCCCCCGACGTGTTTCTTTTTTTTTGGGGAGGGGTGGCTGGGGGGAGAAGTTTTTACTATAGGGTGCTTGCGCTCGCCAGAAAGACAGAGAGATAGAAAGCGAGAAATCACCTCCTGGGGGGGATAGCCACGCCACAGTCCCTTCTCCTCCACTCTCCTCTTGGGATCTTGGACATGCATGCACACGTGCCCGGCGTGAGTTTAAGCCACCGGGTCTGGGACTTGAACCATGGTCAACTACATGGGAGTTCAACAACATAGCCATTACACTTATACATGTTGACAGACCACAGTTGGAAGCCAAGGGCAAATCAACATAACCAAGATCAGGGGTTACTGAGAACCACCCAAATAATTTGTAGTGCTCATTACAAAAGGAAAATGCAGGGCCTCTCATTTGTGAACTACTGAGAATTTTGAAATGGTGATAGCAAAACATTAAACAATGCATGGCACCTTTCTGAGGATGGAGTCTCATACAACTGATGCACAATTTGCCTGCCCATAAACCTAGCTCTGTCCTAGGTGAATCTGAGTAGTATGTATCCCTTATTTTCCGGTAAAGTGAAGTTAGTGATATGAAGAGAACCGTACATGTCCTCCTCTTTACTATCAGTAGTTTCAAAACTCAGAGGAGAGAAATTTGTATTGTGCTGGAATACTAATGGAATGCTTATTGACAATGACAATAAAAGTCTCAGTGATTAGAACATGACACATTCAGATTAGCCACAAAAAGTAGCTCTTACAAGAACTCCATGGAGCCTCACTTATCCCATGTGTTTCTTTTCTTTTTTTTATTAAATGAAATTTTTTTTTTTTTGCTGTAGGTCGCGTATGCTTGCCAGATAGAGCAGATAGAGAGAGACAGAGAGACAGAAAGCAAGAAATCACCCCCCCCCCAAGAGGGGATGTCCACATCGCAATCCCTTCTCCTCCATTCTCCTCTTGTGATCTTGGACACACATGCACATGCGTCCGGTATGAGATTAAGCCACAGGGTCCAGGGCTCGAACCACGGTCAACTACTTGGAAGTCCAGCCAATATAGCCATTACTCAATCTGCTGGTCCCCCCCGACGTGTTTCTTTTTTTTTGGGGAGGGGTGGCTGGGGGGAGAAGTTTTTACTATAGGGTGCTTGCGCTCGCCAGAAAGACAGAGAGATAGAAAGCGAGAAATCACCTCCTGGGGGGGATAGCCACGCCACAGTCCCTTCTCCTCCACTCTCCTCTTGGGATCTTGGACATGCATGCACACGTGCCCGGCGTGAGTTTAAGCCACCGGGTCTGGGACTTGAACCATGGTCAACTACATGG